GGACACTCGCGAGGTCGCGAGTGCTGGGCGCCGCGATTCTCGCAAGGTCGCCGGGAGATTCGCGGCGTGGGCGCTGAACTCACGTGCTGGTGCGGCGCGCAGGTGGGAACTCGCGTGCGCTGGGCATTCCGTGGGCGCGGAACTGGGGCTCGCGGGCTGTTGGGCGCGGCTGGCTAGGAACTCGGGGGCTGGATTCTCTTCCGCGTGCGCGAACCTGTAACTCGCGGGCAAGTGCTAGGGCGCACGCGGGCGCGGGCGTGCTGCACGCGGGTAAGAGCTCGGCCATGGTTCGAGACGGCGCGATCGGGTCGGGACGGATGGCTCGGCTCAGTCAGCTCAGACGGCTCGACTTCCCAAACTCGACAAAATGGACCTAATAAACACAAAAAAGACAAGTAAAATACGGCAAAACACAAAAACACACACAACAAACTCAAAAAAACACACGAAATACGATAAAATGGACCGGTCAACACTAAAATGAACCTAAAAAGACTCGACTAAAGCACATAAAGCACACGAAATAAGCACAAAAACACAATAAACACTCTTCAACGGAAAACCCACCCCTCCGATGTGAGAGTTTTTGCAGGTCCAAGGCATTCAACCGGCGAAGGAGCACACAAGCAAGATGATTTCCAGCCGGTCGAGGGCTTTGACGTACCAAGTATAATAGTACCAATTACATAATTAACAATGTATCAGTTTGGCACTCAATTTTCAATAGCATTCTACTTTATAAAAAAACAAAAGTCCAATTGTCCAAGTTAAAACTATACAATTTGGCCCAAAAAATAGAAAAAGAAAAAAAATAAAAAATAAAAAATAAACAATGCATAAGGTAATTTGGTTTTAAAGACAATTTTTTTGTATTACATCTTAGATGTTGGTGAGCGGTGTGACGTAAACTTATAAGATCGATATGTTTGTTATAATAGAATCAATACTCTTTATAATTTGGTTTAAGTGGATACTTGAATCAGTATGTTTGTTATACTCGAAAATATGGACAAATGCATCACAAATATATTACTTTGAATTAATTTATATTTCAATTTTATTTTTGATTTTTTTTTTTAATTTTGATGGAAAAAATTTTAAGGCCAAATTTGATTAATCCTAGTTTATTGAGCTACATTTACACAGCTTCAACTAATCTTTTTCAAGGTA